ACATATTGTAAAAAAAAAAAAAAATATATGTGGGACCCAAGGAAGTTTTACACACCATCCACTGGGAGGGCTAGGTCCAAAGAGCACCATGCAGGACTTTGGGGACCTGGGTCAGGTGGTGCTGGAGGGCTTCAGTCCAGGGGCTCTCATGCAGTTCCTTAAAACCTGGAGTTCCCAGGCACTAGCCTTCCACTGACTCCTTTCTGTTCCTTCAGCGTGGCCGACAAGCAGAAGAGGAATCCCACCGAGGAAGCCCCACTCCCAAAAAGGTAAATAACCCATGCCCTTGATGGCATTTCTGCTGGAAAAAGGCCTTTCTGTTCCAACAGAGAGCATTGGCTTCATGTACCTTTGGGCGTGGGTGGCAGGAGCCCTAGAAACAGTTACTCTCCCTAATCTCTCCCCAAATCATTTGTTCCCTCTGGAAAACCATCTCCACCAGGTGATCCCAGCCCTGCCAAATGGGTAGTGGGGGATGGTTCCCACAGGGTCAAGGCTCTGACAGCTGTTCTTTGTGGCAGAGGAAAGGTCGGCCTCCTGGACACCTCCTGTCAAATGACCGGGCAGCCACTGGCATGGTGTGAGTAGGGGCCACCGGTGTGGTAAGAGCCAAAGGGAACAGAGGGAGGGGAGTGACGCTGGAGGAGCTGAGGCCAAAATTCTAAGCCTGATGGTATCAGGTCTATCTAAGTTACTATAGAAGAGGATTATCTTGGTGTGGAGTAGTGCAGAGGGCAGTGAGAAGGAAGTTGCTTTATCCTGGTTTACCCCAGAACAGTACAGCCCAGCTTAAATAAACACCAGTTAATTCATGTGTTAAATGTATTGAATGTTTATAGTTGGTCTAAGTACCAGCTTATAGCTATCCTGTGAAGACATAGAAGATAAACAGACTCAGAATTACTTACCTGAGCAGGGCATGGTAGTAGTCACCTATAATCCAAGTACTTGGAAATGGAGGCAGGAAAATCAGGAGCTCATGGTCATCCCCAGCTATATAATAAGTTCAAGACTAGCCTGGGCTACATGAGACCCTATCACCAAAAAAAAGAAAGAAAAGAATGGCTTGCCTGAGATCATATAGTTCATTAAAGACAAAACTGTACTACATTACCTAGAGGATGGTCATTTTCTTTCTTTTTTAAAAAAATACGTGTACAAATATATTTGCCTGCATGTATGTAAGTGTACCCTAGTCATACAATGCCCTCGGAGGTCAGAAGAGGGCATCAGATCCCCTGGAACTGGGTTACAGATGGTTGTTACCAGCCATGTGGGTCCTAGGAACCGAATCTGGTTCCTCTGCAAGAGCAGCCAGTGCTCTTAACCTCTGAGCCATCTCTCCAGCCCAGATGGTCTTTTTAATCTATTCATAGAGCATTTTTAGACATACCACAAACTGAATGGAAGATGCAGGGGTATCTCATACATTCCCTGCCCCCACATGTGCAATCTCCCCTGAGAGTAGCACATTTGTTAAAATTGATGACTCTGCCTTGACGTAGTGCTTTCAGCCAGAGTTTGTGGTACACGGCAGGGTGCATTCTTGGTGTTGTGTGTAGATTTATTTAGACAAGGTCTAATGAACTATATCCACTGTTACAGTTTGAGTGGTTTTCCTTGTGTGTGTGTGTGTGTGTGTGTGTGTGTGTGTGTGTGTGTGTGTTAGCCTGTCGTTCCTCAGAAACCTTGGGTTTTTTGTGACATTGTTTTTGGGTTTTTTGTTTGTTTTTCAATAGGAAACTATGTTTTAAGTCCAGATCCTCACAAGTTTTATCAATGCCAGTAAAGTTGACCTACTTTAAAGATGTGGAAAATAACAGTCTGATATGATGTGGCATGTGGCATGCCTCTTCTTTTTTTTAAACAGAAATGATCTCTCTATGTAGCTAAAGCTAGCAGTCCCCCGCCTCGGCTTCTGAGTAATTTTTTGGTCCTTTTTGTCTTTTTGAGACAGGGTCTCCCTGTAGCCTGAGCTGTCCTGGAACTCACTATGTAGACCAGGCTGGCCTTGAACTCACAGATATCCTCTTGCTTCTGCCTCCCAAGTGCTGGGACTACAGGCGTGTGCCACCACACCTGGCCATTTGGTCTTTTTTAGCTACTTGTGAAAGTATAAGATGCATTCTGTTATTAAACCCCACCCTCTGCTCTCCTCCCACCTCTCCTCCCTTCATCTTCTATACAAGTGTTGTGTCGTGCCCGCCGCCCTCCCCTTCATTGCTTTTGCTGGTGGTGGCAGCAGTGGCGGTGGTGGTTTTGTTTTTTGGTTTGGGGTGTTTTGTGGGGGTGAGAATTTGAGACCCACTGACTTTTAGGAGAATCATCTGTGTGACCATGGATCTAGAACTATCTACTGGAGCTTGGTGAGCTCCTCAGAGGGTATGGCCTCAGAGTATTTTCACTTCACTAAAGTCCTCTGTTGTTCCACCTAGTCATCCTTTCTCCAGCCCCATCCTAGTTTAAAGAGTTTTGAAGCAGCAGAATTTTTTTCCAAATAAAACTTTACATGGAAGACAATTGTATAAAAGAGAAAAGGCCACATTGGCGTAGTTGAGGGGGTGCGATTCATTGATACCATGGGGTCAGGAAATGTAGTATTCACCATCATCCCTTAGACTCATCTCCTTCCTGAAGCTTTTCATTCTCATGTACTGCACCAAGATGGGCAGGGCGGCTGCTGCCCTTATCTCCTGCTGACACATGAGAAAGCTGCAACTCCATGGTTCCTGGGCCGCCCACTGCGGGCTACTGAATGTAACAGTATAAGCAGCGCTCCCACCAGCCAGCCCCTGCTAGCAAGCTTCCTTCCAGTCTCAGTGCCACCACCCCCACTTGGGGACTGTCACTTGGGAGAATTCAATTCACTTGTCTTCTTTCCTTCCAAGCAGATGGAAACCAAAATCCTGTGAGCCAATTCGCCGAGAAGGCCCCAAGGTACATTCTGAATGTGATAGTGAACAATACTCTGAAGCCCCCATGAGATAGAAGATGGGGTGACAGAGGATGTGTGCACAGGACTCGAGAGCCATCTTCCCCATCTCCCTCCTCAGCTCCTCTTCATTTATTCTTTGTAACAGTGGTTTTGTTTTGTTTTGTTTTGTTTGTTTGGGGGGGGGTCTTTTTGAGACAGGGTCTCCCTGTAGCCCCAGCTGTCCTGGAACTCACTATGTAGACCAGGCTGGCCTTGAACTGACAGAGATCCCCCTGCCTCTGCCTCTGAGTGCTGGGATTAAAGGTGTGCGCCACCACACCCGGTTTTTTTTTTGTCTTTTTGAGACAGGGTTTCCCTGTAGCCTCAGCTGTCCTGGAACTCACTATGTAGACCAGGCTGGCCTCGAACTCACAGAGATCCACCTGCCTCTGCCTCCCAAGTGCTGGGATTAAAGGCGTACACCACCACGCCTGGCTGGAACAGTGTTTTGAGATATTGATTCTGTAACTGTTGTGGAGTTGAGGAACTTCCTTTCCTGCCACCTCCCCTGTGGGCAGAAATGATCTTATTTTTTGGAGTTATCTTATGCTCCCAATACACTTGGGACTTGCCCAGACACATAGCTAGTCAGAAATATCCAAGTCTCAGACCCAAAGTCTGTTGACATTATTAGCTTCTCTTGCCTTCAGAACACTTTTGCAAGCCTAGTGAGGTACATAAAGGTCCTCTGTCCTCATTGGACTTTGTCCGGAAAAATTAAAATTGGCTCCCTTGTCTTCTAGTCTGCTTTACTTTCCTATAATCATCATTGTGTATTCTAAGACTTGGAGCTGGTGATCCTGCATTCTCCTGACTCTTCTGTTCTATCCAACCTCCCTTCTCTGACTTGAGAGGAATTTTTGCTCAATAGTGACCCATATGTTGAGTGTCCCCCAGAATTCTCTCTGGCTCACCTAAAGCTTCACTAGATGATTTCTTTTTTAATTACGTTTATTTATTGTGTGTGCACACGTAAGTGCACACCCTGGCCTATGGAGATAGAGGACAACTCATTAGAGTTGGGCTTAGCAGTAGATGCTGTTTTTTTTTTTTTTTCTTAGTTTTTTTTGTTTGTTGGTTGGTTTGGGGGGGGGGTTGTGAGGGGATGTGGGGGGTGTTGATCTTTCTGAGACAGGGTCTTCCTGTAGCCCCAGCTGGCCTGGAACTCACTGTGGAGACTAGGCTGGCCTTGAACTCACAGAGATTTGCCTGCCTCTGCCTCCTGAGTGCTGAGATTGAAGGTGTGTGCCACCGTGCCCAGCTAGCAGTAGATACTTTTACTGACACTGAACCATCCAGCCCTCTAGATCTTTTTTTTTCAGACAAGGTCTCCCTGTAGCCATAGCTGACCTGGAACTCACTATGTAGATCAGGCTGCCTCCGTCTCGCAGAGATTTCCTACTTCTGTCTCCTGAGTGCTGGGATTAATTTTTCTGTATGTGTGTGGTTGTGTATCTGTGAATATGTGTGTGCAGGTGCCTCCTGAGGTCAGGAGAGGGCATCAGATCCCTTGGAGCTGGAGTTACAAATGGTTGTGAACTACCTGGTGTAGGTGCTGGGATTTGAACTCTTGTCCTCTGCAGGAACAGCATGCACTCTTAACCTCTGATCCATCTCTTCAGGTGTGCCCCCCCACACACATCTTAATCATCTACTCTTAGGGTTTCAGGACCAGGTCTTACACCCCAGTCTCTGTTCTTCTCACACCTCTCTGCTTTAAAACATGTATGTCCTCCTATCTGCTAGTCCTGTCTGCCTAGAAGTTCTAGGAGCATATCCAACACAGCATGTCGAGGATGTGAGGGCGATCTGTCTACAGCATCTATCATCCATCCCATTGATCACTGGAGTTGATTAGGCTGATCTGGCAGGTTAGGCAGGTGGCCCTTTCCACCCACGCACTCTGTGTGCACCCTTCCTGAAGCAGCATTCTCAGGCCAAGAGGATGACTTTCCTTGGTTGAGGAGGGTTGTTCTTTGGTCAGAGATGTACTAGAAGTAGCTATATTCCCCTGATAGAGGAGAGTGAATACAAGCTCTCAGACAGTGGGTCCAAAATTGACATCAGAATCTTTTTATTAAAAGACGCTTTATGTTGTTTTTGAGATTGGGTCTCACCATAGCTCAGGCTGGTCTTGAACTCAGGATTTTCATCATCCTTAGCCTCACATATGCTAGACTTAGAGGTATGCACCACCCTGAGGGACTTCATTTTCTGTGATGGTGGTTATAGTGCAAGGGATTGAACCCAGGGCCTCGTGTTGAGCAAACAATTCTACTCTAAGCCTTGTTTCACCTTCTTTTATTGTCTCTGCCTGTTCTCTTCCCTCACTCCACATCCAGTCAAGTCCTAACCTTGTGAATGCACTGCAGTTCCTGTTCCCTCTTCCTCCACTACAGTCACAGCTCAGGTTCTTGTGTGCTTTCAGTTCTGCTTTACCACAGCAGCCTCTAAGCTGCTCTCCCTGCCTTTGAATTTACCCCCTCAAATCCACTATCTGCCAGGCGTGTTGGCGCACACCTCTAATCCCAGCACTAGGGAGGCAGAGGCAGGCAGATCTCTGTGAGATCAAGGCCAGCCTGGTCTGCATATGAACTTCCAGGCCAGCTGGGGCTACAAGGTGACAAAAAGACAAAAAAAAAAAAAAATCCACATTGCTGGATGAGTGAGCTGTCCTTAAAGTATAACTGGCTCTTATTTCCTATAGAAGCTTTCAGTGGTTCCCCATCATCTACAGATAAGAAGATGTAAACCCATAAATGCAGCCTCAGGCCTCCAGCTCTCTGTGCTTCTCTGTCCTTCCTCAGTTGCCTCTCCCTTCCCCTCTCCTTTAACAACACAGAAGCTGTTTGTAGTTTCTCTAGCGTTCCAAGCCAACTCACGCCCACCACTGTATATACTACCCTCTGTATAGGATGTCCTTCTTCCTCCCTCTAATTTGTACTCACCATTTCAAAAGCAACTTCAGGGATTATCTCTTTAAAAAAGAGAAAATTTCTGGCTATACCATCCATCCCCTTTGGCACCTCTCATACCCTGCACTCAGCCATGCCATGGTCCCATCACATTCTGGTCTGACTTCAATATATATGTCTGGGGCTCCTAGAGAACAGTCTGTACCTTACTCATCTTGTCCTCAATGTCTAGCACAGGGTCTGACATACTATAAGTGCTCCATCTCCTACACAAACATGAATAATGGATAAGGATGACCAAAAGGAAAGGACAGGGGTACAGTCCTGCCCTACACATTAAACCTCACTCTCTTGGTCTGTTTCTTGCATAGTGGGACCCAGCTCGGTTGAATGAGTCTACCACCTTTGTATTGGGATCTCGAGCCAACAAGTGAGTCTGAGAGCTTTACTGCTGACGGAGGGGCAGGTCAAGGGTCCACTACTGGGAGCACCACTTGCTGGACTATTTACCATTCATCTTTCATTTTTCAGGGCTCTAGGGATGGGAGGTACCAGAGGGAGAATCTACATCAAGCACCCACACCTCTTTAAGGTAGGTGAGTGCTGGGAGGGAAGTAGGCAGGCCATTGCATGAGGCATAGATAGCATTGGGAATTGCATGAAATACACACTGGCCTTGGAGTCAGAACATCTGAGTTCTAGTTCCCCTCGGCCATTTACGTATACCTTTTGTGACTTCCCAACTTGCCAAGCACAGTTTGAAGAGCTCTGCTGACCCAATCCCATGGAACTGTCCTTAAGACAGGTAGCTTAACCAGGTGCAGTGGTACATGTCTGCAGTCCCAGCTACTCTGCTACTTGAGAAGCTAAGGCAGGAAAATCACTTGTGCTAGAAACACAGGCATGCTGTGATATCTCTCTGCTTTTAAACTTGCATAGAAATACAGAGCATCCTGGCATGGTGATTATACACTGTAATCCCAGCACATGGGAGATTGAGGCAAGAGGGTCAGGAATTTAAGGTCATTACTCAGGTACAAAAAGTAATTCATTTATTGGACATATATTTATTGAGCATGTATCACATGCTGACAACTCCCACAAAGAGCTAGAGAAGAAAGCAATGACTAAAACACAGCCAAGATCGTGGTACCCACCTGTAATCCTAGCATTTAGGAGGCAGAGGTAGGACTGCAACAAGGTCAAAGCCAGCCTAGTCTATATAGTGAATTCCGGGTGAACTAGGGCTACTTAGTGAGATCCTGTCTCAAAAATAAGTAAGACCAGACTGGACTTGAACTCACAGAGATCTGCTTGTCTCTTGTCTCCCAAGTGCTGGCAGTAAAAGTATGCATCACTACACCTGGCCTTAAGAAAAAACAAATTTAGCATTATTTTTGTGTATATCTTTAATCCTAGCACATTTTAAATAATCTGCTGGTTTTATGAAACCTGTTTTTGTTTGTTTTGTTTTTTGAGACAGGGTCTCACACTATGTAGCCCTGGCTGGCCTGGAACTCGCTATGTGGACCAGGTGGCCTCAGTCTCACAGAGGTCCCCCTGCCTCTACCCCTCAAGTAGAAGGATTTAAGGCCTGCACTACTACACCTGGTTGAAACCTCCCCTTTTGGAGCACTGTGTATCACCTACCATATTTAGCACTTTTATATACTATAATTTGCTCTTAACAAGAACCCTATAAAGTAAATGTTAGTGCTCTCTTTTGAGACATGGTCTCATGTAGCTTAGGCTGGTCTTAAACTTACTGTGAAGTTGAGAATGACCCTGAACTCCTGATCCTCCTGCCTCTGTCTCTCAAATGTTAGGTTTACAGGCATGTACCACCATACCTGGCAGTACTCTCCCCTTTACAAATGAGGAAACTTGAGTCTCAAGGAAATTACTACCGAGGCTTATACCAACTAAAAAGTGGTAGCAGTTGCCTTTCCAACTTGGGCCCAGCGGAATGGCTCCCGCAAAGAAGAGTGGCAAGAAGAAGGGCCGTTCTGCCATCAACGAGATGGTCAACCCGGGAATACACCACCAGCATTCAAAAGCGCATCCATAGAGTGGGCTTCAAGAAACATGCCCCTTGGGCACTCAAAGAAATTTAGAGATTCGCCATGAAGGAGATGGGCACTCCAGAAGTGCGCATTAATACTAGGCTCAACAGAGCTGTCTGGGTGTAGGAATAAGGAACACATATTGTATGCATGTTCATTTGTCCAGAAAACCTAACGAAGATGAGGATTTGCCAAACAAGCTGTATACTTTGGTAACCTATATCCCTGTTACCATATTCAAAAATCTACAGACAGGGTCTACATAGCGAGTTCCAGGCCAGCTAAGGCTACAGGGAGACCTGTCTCAAAAAGACAAAAAAAAAAAAAAAAAAATCTACAGTCAGTGTACTAACTGCTGAGAGTCAAAGTTATAAAACTGCAAAAAAAAAAAAAAAAAAAAAAGTGGTAGAAGTTAAGAGTTTAAAACTTATTTGTCATTGGGTGTGATGTCATACGCCCAGCACTTGGGAGGCTGAGGCAGGCTGATATCTGAGTTCAAGGCCAGCCAGGGTTACATAATGAGATCCTGTCTCAAAGGAAAAAAAAAAACGTGTTGAATTCTAGAACCGGGTTGTTTACATTATGCTCTTTTGCCTCCCCTAGTTTATAAAGTATCTTGGTTTTTGTTTTAGAAAATGTGGTCATGCCAGGCACTAGCACATGCTTATAGTCCCAGCACTCTGAGGCAGACACAAGAGGATCTAGAGTTTGACCCTAGCCTGAGCTACATAGTGGTACCCTGTGGTGGAGAGATGCCAAAATACAAAGACAGCCTGCCTCTTAGCTTTGGTTAAAACCAAGAGTGAGCCCAATCTGTTCTCAGAACTTGTTCCTTCTGAGCTCTCTGGGAACTGCTCTCCTGAACAAAGGACTTGCTCTGTGTTTATTGAAACAGTATGAGAGGAGAAAGGAAAAGAGGAAATTCATCTCATCAGGGAAAGATTTTTTCCCTTTCTGACCCACAATACCCTCTCTGAAACAAAGAATAATTATATGGGTGTGGGCCCCATAATAATCAGATGTTTTAAGCCACTTCTGATCATTTTTTGATAGAGTCTCTAAAATAATTATCACCAGTCACACCAGTTTCCAGGGATGCTGTTTTGAAAAAGGAATGATTGAGGGAGAATAGATGAGTAACTATCGCTACTAAATTGCAATCCCTGGGTTCCTCAGCTTGTCTCTGTTGTACTATACAGATTAGTGAGCTTGGGCATCCATCTACCTAGGACAAGATCCAGTTGGTAAGAACTGATGGAGGGTCGAGGAAAAAACCCTTCCACTAGGCTAATGTCTCTGCCTGTAACTTTCCCCCTCACAGTATGCAGCTGACCCCCAGGACAAGCACTGGCTGGCTGAGCAGCATCATATGCGGGCAACAGGGGGAAAGATGGTAAGCACCGTTTTCATGCACCACTGCCAAAGACCCACCCACCCAACCACAGGACCAGGATTCTAGCTCTTGACAGCAGCTTATCTCCAAATCTGGGTGACACCTAAGCCAGAAACATGTGGGATGGGAGACTTGTGAGGGCTGTTCTTCATGAAGAGCCAGCTGAAATTTGTGGATTCTCTTCCCTGTCCCTCTTACCTCCTCCAAGACTACATGATTAAATCTTGTTAGGTGTGCATGGGAAAGGCAGTTGAAGACTTTTAATGGTCCTTTTCCCCATATACCCATGGACAGATTTTATTCATCGATCACAGCACTCTTCCCAGACCCAGCTATGGAATCTCTTCTCACAGTAGGAACACAAACAATGAAATATATTCATGTCTGGGAGCACCTTGCAGATTCACCTCCATGTCAAAAGGGCCCAGCTCATATCAAGCAACAACCTTGGAAAGTCATTGTATAGCCTAAGAGTACTCTGGAGGGCTTTCCCCACATGCAATTTCCTCCACCTGAGGACTGTACCATGCTAGGACTGTTCCTGATTGGCTCTAATGGCCTTGAAAACCTGCCTATCTCCTTTCTGACAGTGGAAGCTGTCTGTATAGTGATTCCTGTCCACACTTTGATGGAATATTTCAGGTTGCTTACCAGTGATAACAAAATACAACGTAACACAAATAAGAAATGGATGAAGCTGGGCTTGGTGGAGCACGCCTTTAATCCCAAGCAGAGGCAAGGGATCTCTGAGTTCAAGGCCAGCCTGGTCTATATAGCTCATTCCAGACCAGCTGGGGCTACAGGGAGACCCTGTCTCAAAACAAACCGGAAAAAAAAAAAAAAAAAGAAAAAGAAATGGATGAGCCTCAAAGGGAGCAGCAATGTAGCTTTTGTTTTATTTTAAATATTTTTATTCTTTGGGAACTCATAAAATATATTTTGATCGTACTCTTTCCCCCCAGCTCCTGCCAGATCCGCCCACCTCCCTACCTACCCAACTTCGTGTTCATCTTTCCCCCATTGACTCCAATGCACCTTGCCCAAATATTCTTGGGTGTGGAATCTGCTCTGGATTATTGTTGACCTAGGAAGGGTCACACTCTTAAAAATGATTCTTGCCATCCCAGCAGCTACCAAATGCCAATAGCTCCTTAGCTAAGGGGAGAACTTCATGCCCACCTCCCTACTTTCATATTAGGGTCGCACTATGTCATCCAGGCTGGCCTCCAAACAACAACTGATTTTAAAAACTTGAGGTTCAAGTGGGCATGGTGGTACATGCCTTTAATCCCAGAATTCAGGGAGCAGGGGCAAATGAAACTCTGTGAGTTTAAGGCCAACGTAGCAAGTTCCAGGCCAATCAGAGCTACATAGTGAGACCCTACCTCAAAAAAAAAAAAAAAAAAAAACAGCCAGGTGTGCGCCCAGCCAGGCATGGTGGCACACGCCTTTAATCCCAGCACTTGGGAGGCAGAGGCAGGCAGATCTTTGTGAGTTCAAGGCCACCCTGGTCTACATAGCGAGTTCCAGGACAGCTGGGGCTACAGGGAGACCCTGTCTCAAAAAGAAAAAAAAAGTTAAGATTGAGCCGGCGTGGTGGCACACAGCTTTTATCCCAGCACTCAGGAGGCAGAGGCAGGTGGATCTCTGTGATCTCTGTGAGCTCCAGGACAGCTGAGGCTACAGGGACACCGTGTCTCAAAAAGACCAAAAAAAAAAAGTTCTTGCAATTGGCCAAACTTGTAATCCAGATACTCAGGAGAATATTTTGAGTTTAAGGCCAGCTTGAGCAACTTAGTGAGATGTTGTCTCAAAATCTTAAACTAGATTTAAAAAGATAAAAGGGGGGAGGTGCTGGAGAGATGGCTTAGCAGTTAAGAGCATGGGTTGTTTGTGCAAAAGACCCAGGTTCAAATCCCAGCACCCACATGGAAGCTAACAGCTGTCTATAACTCCAGTTACAGGGGACCCAGAGCCCTCTTCTGACCTCCATGGGCACTGCAAACACAGTTGCACTTCCATACATGCAGAAAATGCATGCATACTCATAAAATAAAAATAATAAGTAAAATATTATAATAAAAAAGGGGGGGAAAGTAGGCATGGAGGAACATACCTCTCATCCCCAGCACTTGAGAGGGGGAGGCAAAAAGATAAGGATTTTTTTTTTTTTTTGGTCTTTCTGAGACAGGGTTTCCCTGTAGCCCCTGCTGGACTGGAACTCACTATGTAGACCAGTCTGGCCTTGAGCTCACAGAGATCTGCCTGCCTCTGCCTCCCAAGTGCTGGGACTGAAGACATGTGCCACCATGCCTGGCAAAGATCAGGAATTTAAGGTCAACCTCCATTATGTGACTAGTTCTAAGCCAGCTTGGCTACAGGAGTCCCTGCCTCAAAAAAAAAGCAATGACAAAAACAGTTGGATGGCTGAGGATATGACGCAGTGGTAGACTGCCTAGCATGTGTGAGACTCTAGGTTCAATCCCCAGTACTAAATTTTAAAACTTTAAAAAATTATGGGGTGTGTGTGCATACGTGTCAGAGGATGACTTTTGAGAATCATTTCCCCTCTTCCACCTTGTGGGTCCTGATCAAACCTCAGGTCACCAGGCTTGATGTCAAGCATCTTTACCAGTAGAGCCATCCCGCCAGCCCTCCATACTGATTTTAGAATGAAGGTGGAGCATGGTAGCATAGGCCTATAATCCCAACAATCAGGAGGCTGAGGCAGGAGGATCTTATGTTAGAGGTCGGTCCGAGCTACATATCAAGACCATTTCTCCAAAGAAGTTGTTTTCTTTTCATTGCTGACCTGGAAGATAGCTAGGTGTCTGAAGACTCAACTCTGGGCCCCCTTCTTGAGCACAGCTGTTCTGCCACATAGTTCACAGTGCCCAAGAAGAAGGCCAAGTACTCAAGGGACCCTAAGACTAGAAGGAAAATGTCCCATAAACACTGCAGTGTCTGTCAGGAACAAACACCCCTATGTGAAGCCAGGCATGGTGGCTTATGCCTATAATCCTAGCCTGGGAGGCAAGAGGAGGAATCTGGGCTATGTAGTGAGTTATAAGCCAATCTGGCCTAAGAGATGGACCCTGTCTCAGAAAAAGAAACAAAATGAAAAGAGGTACCCTGTGTAATAAACTCACAAGGGGCTCTGGCAGCGACAGACCACAGCACTGTATCAAAGCAGCTCGAGAGCCCCTCCTCCCCCCAGAACAATTCAGTGCAGCAGATAGCCATGCTGTTTAGCTAGCTAGCCAGCCTTCTGCCCCAAGTTCCCAAACCCAGTTATCTGAATCCCCAGAGGTAAGATGCTTCCTCCTCTTGATTTCCTGTCTTCCTGTATGATAGCTCTATTACCATTTTGTTATAAGCCACTTTAAGTCCATTTTTAAAAGTGGAAAGGCCATAAATACATTAATCACCAGTAGCCAGGCTCCATGGCACATGCCTGTAATACATCTACATGGGATGCTGAGGAGGAGGGTCCTTTGTGAGCCCAGGAGTTCAAAGACAGCCTAGGCAGCATAGTAGACTTTGTCGTTAAAAAAAAAAAAAAAAATATTTTTTAGTCAGCAGTCTACTCTCACCCATATAGTCATATAGTCTGGGTAGAAGATACCCAAGGAACCATTCCGCCGCCTCCCTACTTTCTCTTCTATGAAATTGTTAAGAAATTGTAAAGTCCACCTGCCTGGTAGTAGGCCTTACATCTTTAATAGAGCGTTCCTGAGGAGTGAGATGAGTCAAAGGCATTGACCACTCTCCTCCTCTTCCCCAGGCCTACCTTCTCATCGAGGAGGACATCCGAGACCTGGCTGCCAGCGATGACTACAGGTGAAACTGCTAGGCCTCCCTCCCCTCCCCTCCAGCTGCCCAAAGTAGCCACTGGGATAGGGTTGGGCCTATACCCTCCCTTGCTTTAACTTCTCTCTTCAATGTCTCTTCTAGAGGGTGCCTGGACCTGAAGTTGGAGGAGCTGAAATCCTTTGTCCTCCCCTCCTGGATGGTAGAGAAGATGAAAAAGTACATGGAGACGCTGCGGACAGAGAATGAGCATCGCACTGCTGAAGCACCTCCACAGACCTGAGCAGATCTCCTGGCGACACTCAGCAGCCTGCCTCCAAGACCCTCTTCCCCACCTGGCTGAGGCCACCATGGGGACTGTGCCTAGATGGATCTTAGCAGGTTTAAGCTGTGCATGAGCTAGTTTGTGGTGACTCGCTGCAGAACACCCGACTGGCATGTGGTTCTCTATTTGTAAAGTTATTGGGATAAGAAGCAATTAAACAGTTTGTAATAAACACAGATGGTGAGCCTGCTGTGATGTCTGCCTTGTGGGAGCTCCCGTTACAGGGCTGGAAATGAAGGCGGCAGGCATACAGGGAAAGGACCATCCACCCTCCCCATCTGAGGCTGAGGCTTTGGGAAACCAAACTAGGAACACCACGTTCTTTGCCAGTCTCTCCTGTCTCTTGTTTACTTCTGTTTAGGATGTGCAGTGTGGTGGCCCGCCCTGGCAGGGGCTGACGATAAATCACAGAAAATATGCAGCTGGCTTTTATTATCCCAATCTTACAGGTTAAAACACCAACTGGCCTAAGGGTGCACAGCAAACCCAACTGGAGGAATGTTATGCGCGCCCCCTTTTTCCCCCCCCCCCCCCCCCGGGCCTGGTTTTTCTTTTTATAGGACAGTCTCACTTAGCACAGTCTGGCCTAGATGTGACCTTTAACTCCTGAGCCTCCAGCCACCACCCTTCCCCCCGCGGCGGACTACAAGCTGGGACTACAAGCTTGCACCTCCTAGCACAGCTCAAACGTGAGCTGACCCGCAGCCTTGGGTTTCCCCACCTTCCTAGGCTTTTCAGATACTAGGGACCCCAACAGAGGTAACCCAGCTATTTTAATGGGGGGGAGGAGCAGGAGCTTCCGGTCTCGGGGAAGGGTAGCTTGAAGATCTCAGACACTCCCTTTCCCGGAAGAAGTCATCCCTGCTGGGCGTGCACCTAAGGGGACCAAGGGATTTGCCCTTCGCCGCGAGGGAGGAGTGGTGCACGCGCGGAATCTCCACCTTGGGAAGTGAGGGCAAGAGGATCAAGAACTATGGGTCATCCTCAGCTACACGGCGACTTCCAGACTGGCTACAAGAGACCCTGTAACAAAAGGAAAAGGGTTTATCAAAGGTTTTATTAAAGGGCGGTTCCGTGGCCCTTTAATGGCCGGCGTTTTCCAAAGGCCACCAATCCACTGTAGGGTCGCTGGCTAGTGGCAGCCTCTGCAGCCAATCCGCCGTCAGGAGGGGCCCGCAGGCCAATAGAGTGCGCCGCCGGGGCGCCTCGCCAGTGCGCAGAGGCAGAGCGCTCCGGCGCGTCCTATTGGCTGGATCAAACCCAAACGGGCCGCTGATTGGCCGGCGATGAGCGAGGATTCCGATTCAAACGCGGGCGGGAGGGCCCGCAGCTCCGCAGTTCAGCGCTGTGCGTCTCCGCTCTGCCTTCCCCCGCCGCCAGCCCCATGGCCTCCCAGAACCGCGACCCAGCCGCAGCCAGCGTCGCCGCCGTGCGCAAAGGAGCCGAGCCCAGCGGGGGCGCCGCTCGGGGCCCTGTGGGCAAGAGGTGAGTGGTGCAGAGCCACACTCGGGGACCTCACCCCGGAACCGGCGAGGTTTGGGAGACACGAGGACACCCCGGAAACTCGGCCTGCTCTTGGAGATGTGCTAAAAGGGCAGATGGACCGGTAGGGACTCAGCGCTGGGGCTAAGAACATGCTGCAGTCTTCCGGCCAAAAAGGGTAGTCTCCATGACATCGCCTAGGATAGCCGGGTGGGCGGTGATGCGGCACCTGGAGAGCATCCGTGCCCCCAAATGACCCCCTATTCTCTTTGCAGGCTACAACAGGAACTGATGACCCTCATGGTGAGTAACCGAATGCTCTCAGGTCAGTTGGGCCACCCTCCCATCCCCCACCCAATTATCAGTAGCCTCCTTCCCTACATCAGGGGCCTAGCTAAACCGGTGGGTATAATTTGCTCCCTCCTTCGTACTTCCCATCCACACTTGCTCACAGCAGCCTCTTACCTAGTTCCAGCCCCAGGGCGAAGGTGTCTCTGGTGCAGTTCTGGAAGTCAGTCATAGGAGGTCTTCCTGGGCTCATCCCTGCTTCTGGCCCTAGCTCTAACCTCACCCAACTCCCTGCCCTTCTTGGTATTTCTAGTCCCATCTTGCCTTAGGATACTCTCTTTCTGGTACTCCATACTACAGTACCCATAAATAACAATCCACATCTTTCAATGCCATATTAAATATTTGGAGGCAAGAACTGCCTTTTGCTTCCCTGTTCAACCTTTCCCATTTAACCTGGTGGTCAGCCTGTCATTTATGTGCTTTATTTAGGATCAGCATGATGAGATCCAGGCAAGGGGCTCACCCACTATCCCCTTTGCTGTGCCCAGAAGTGTACTCTGAGCTGGGTGTGGGGGTGACAGGCCTTTAATCCCAGCACTTTGATCTCTGTGAAATCTGATGCTAGCCTGGTCTACATAGCAAGTTCCAAGCCAGCGGAGGATATAGGGAAACCGTCTCAGAAAAAAACAAAAAAAAAAAAGGTGTACTCTGGAATCTAGTAATATGGTGTTTTCTCCCCAGATGTCTGGTGATAAAGGAATTTCTGCTTTCCCTGAATCAGACAACCTTTTCAAATGGGTAGGGACCATCCATGGAGCAGCTGGCACAGTAAGTGTAGGGTACAGGTTGGTGACAGTTTTCTGAGTGTTTCGGGAGAGAGATGAGTCCCAGTTCTGGGTCTGTTTGCTGCACAAACAGTTCCTTGTGCCTGTGCTCTGAACCCTGTGGCCACATTCTGTACAATTTAAAAAGTGGGGAGAGGGTGAGCAGGACGTCAATGGGGCCAGACCACAGTGAGGCAGAGTAGAGACCTTGGCCAATGGGAGAGCACAAGTCTCAAAAAGGCAGCTTTCTGGGGCTGAGGAGATAGCTCAGCTGTTAAAAGCTCTTGCTGCTCTTTCAGGACCCACATGGTGGCTCACAACCACCAAGTAGAGGGAATCTCACATTTTGGACCCCAGGAGCACCAGGCATGAACATGGTACACTTAACATACATGCAAGCAAAAGTTTTGCTTTTGCAGGGCGGGGGTGTTCTTTTTGAGACAGGATCTCTGTGAGCTGGAGCTACACAGAGATCCACCTGCCTCTGCCTCCCAAGTTCTGGGATTAAAGGCAAGCACCACACCACACCCAGCTAGGTTTTGCTTTTTTTTTTTTTTTAAAAAAAAAAAAAAAAAGGCTTACCATGCTGCAGATCAGATACGGTTTTAAGTTAGAAATCAGATCCATGCTGGGCATGGTAGCACATGCCTTTAATCCCAGCAGGCAGATCTCTGATTTTGAGACCAGCCTGGTCTGTATAGTGAGTTCTTTCTATTTAGCAACTAAGATACTAATTTTTGGACTATGTGATAGCCCTAAGAATACCAGTTGGAAGTCTTTCTATCAGAGAGTCATTGGTGTCCCCACCATATAAGAGTGCACCAGGGCTGGGCATGGTGGCACATGACTTTAATCCCAGGGACCAACTTAACATAATGTCAGCTGCCCAGTCTTAGGCAAATTCCTGCCAGCAAGGCTCTTCTATGGGGCTTGGGTGGGATCTTGGGCTGACACAGGGGACATGGTGAACAGGAGACTTACCCTGTGCTTCTTTTTCCCCAAATGCCAGGTTTATGAAGATCTGAGGTATAAACTCTCCCTAGAGTTCCCCAGTGGCTACCCTTACAACGCACCCACAGTGAAGTTTCTCACACCCTGCTATCATCCCAACGTGGACACACAGGGCAACATCTGCCTGGACATCCTCAAGGATAAATGGTCTGCCTTGTATGACGTCAGGACCATCTTGCTCTCTATCCAGAGCCTGTTAGGAGGTAACTTCTGAGACTGCCCGCTCCTGCACACCATGGGAACTTGCCAGGGCTCCCCTGAGCCAGCCTCTTCTACCTCCTTGACTCTTCTAATCTCCATCCACAGAACCCAACATTGATAGCCCTTTGAACACACATGCGGCTGAGCTCTGGAAAAACCCCACAGGTGGGTCCTTTAGCTTAGGGTGACCCCTTCAATAGGACCTTGGGAACTAGGGTGGGCCAGTAGGATGGAGGTTAGCCCATTCCTGTAACTGCCTTTCATGCTCACATAGGTTGAGGGGGTCTTGGGTAGAATATGTCACCTGTACCTTCCCCAGTCTCATTGGAAACAAGTCTATCAAGGATCCTACTGGATAGCAGCACAAGAGTATCTGCTGTAGAGGGAAACCAGCCCCTGCCAGCTTCCCTTCATGCCCTGGTCATCTTCCTTAACTCAGTACACATCACTTACCCGAGACCTGCCTGTTCTCTTCCAGCTTTTAAGAAGCACCTTCAGGAAACCTACTCAAAGCAGGTCTCCAGTCAGGACCCCTGACCGAAGCTGTGCAGCCTCTTCTGTGATGTCTTTCATTTTTGTCCTTAATGGTCTGTCCTTTCCTTGATCCGTACCTTGAACTGTGGTGTTATTTTTGTTTTATTTCTGTTTTTTAAATTAAGTCTGTTTGAGCCCTTACAATGTATATTAAATAAATACATGTTGATTGTTTTTGTATAAGTTGTTGATATAAGTTACCCTCAGCTAGAGGCACTCAGGATAGGGGAGGCCTGGCTTAATATCCCAGCTCTGGCCTGTTCTCTGCAGGGGTGGAAGCAGCTGATAGAATGTGGGGTGGGGCTGAGTGGTAAGTTACTGAGATGTTTCCTTGTGGTCTTATTTTTTTATCACTCTGCATGTGTTTCTTCAACTATAAAATGGACATCACAATAATCCTGTTTGGCTGGAAGAGGTAGCTCAGTGGTAGAGTTGGCATGTGTGAGGTCCCGAGTTCACCAAAACTCATGTCCATTCCCGTTGAGTTACAGCATGAATGTGTAGTGGCAAAGCTGTGCCAGTCAGGATGCAACTGAGGCTAAACCAGACCTTGGGCTGAAGAGAGTGTGGGAGAGAGGGGAAAGTCAGCAGCCTACTTGAAGGATGGAGGGGAAAAAAAATCAAGTTGCCCTACAGCAGGTCCAGAGTGCTGGAGACAACCAGGGAACACCCCTCTGTCAGAACCCTCAAGGCTGAGCTCTGGATCCATCTTTGACCCTAGGTCTCCCACAGATGGCTCCACTTTCCAATAGGGTGCATCACCTCCTGCTCCATCTCTACCAGCAATGACTCCAGCCTTTAGGCCCCTGGGAGGAAATGGCTGTGTAGAATTTTTATGCATTTCATAGAATAGATCTTAATCAGTTTTTGGTTGTTAGCAGCTGCACATCCCTCCAGCCCAATAGATCTTAATCAAATTTAGACCCCCTCCCCTATCTGTGCTCATCCACAGCCCCCTGTCTCCCCCTGGATTTCATGCATTCTGTCAAATGTTAAGCCCTATCCACCCAAGCATTCATACCCAGATCACCCTCCATGTAAGTTCATCCACTGCAGTCTAGTCAGCCAGTCTTTTTTTTTTTTTTTTTTTTTTTTTTTTTTTTTTTGAGACGGTCTCCCTATAGCCCCAAGTGGCCTAGAACTCACTATGTAGACCAGGCTGGCCTTGGACTCAGAAATCTGCCTCCCAGTACTGGGACTGACGGAGTACGCCACTACTCTGCGCCAAGAGTTAGTCTCTTACAGATCTATTTTCCTTTACTCAGCAGTAATCAGTTATCAGTGGTTGCTAAGGTTGGAGCCTGCTGCCCATTTCCCTCGTTCTATGCTGGGTTTTTGTCTGACTGAGACAGCATGGGTCTTGTGCATGCTGTCACCATTTGTGCAAGTTCCCAGCAGCCCAAAAGCCTGTTTTCTTATGTTTGTGCACCAACCTTGGCTCTTACAATTTTTTCCTAGGTGTGTGAGGCTTAATAAAGGAGTCTTATCCAGGCACAGGCACTGTGCAGTCTCTTGTCCTCTGAAACCTAGCCAGTTGTGGCCTTCTGTCTGTGTGCTTCACACTTTGTGCTTATTTCCTCTTGGGCATAGAGCCACCTTGATTTTTTTTTTTTTTTTTTTTTTTTTTTTTTTTTTGGTCTTTTTGAGTCAGGCTCTTCCTGCAGCCCCAGCTGGCCTGGAACTCACAGAGATCACCTGCCTCTGCCTCCCAAGTGTTGGGATTAAAGGGGTGCATCTCCACACCCGACTAGAAAGTAAATTTTTTTTAATATTTTTTATTTTATTTTATGTGCATGTGTGTATTGCCTGCATGTAGGTAAGTGCACCCGTGTCGGGCAATGCCCACGGAGGTCAGAAGAGGCTACCGGATCCCTTGGGACTGGAGTTACAGACAGTTGTTAGCTGCCATGTGGGTGCCAGGATTCAAACCCGGGTCTTCTGCAAGAACAACCAGTGTTCTTAACCACTGAGCCATCTCTCCAGCCCCTGAGAGTAAAATTCTTTTACTAATTGGGTTGCTAAAAGAGGAAGAAGTCGGGTGTGGTGGCACACCTGTAATCCCAGCACTCAGGAGGCTGAGGCAGGAGGATTGAGGGTTTGAGGACAGCCTGGGCTACTCAGCAAGAAAAAAAACATGACTAGGCAGCTGATAGAGAGAATGTCAATAGAAACAAAGTCATGCAGAGCATCTTAAGTAAGACATCAACAGAGACTCTGGTTTCCAATTCATGCTGTGGCAGCCTCAGTTCTGTGAACCAACTAGTTCCCTTTTTGATACAGTCCATTTGATACAGTTTCTGACACTTGGAACAAAAACTCTAGTACAAAAAATACTAAAGGGTATGATTGCTGATCCTATTCATATACTTTGGCAGGATGGAGAAAAGGGGATGAATACGGGCTGCTGATGTCCCTCTCCCCAAGGGCTTAGCAGCAGGCCATATGGAAAAGCTTGGAGGATGGGAGAATAGCTCAGTGGCAAAATGCCTACCTACCATGCTCAAGAATATAGGCTCAATCCCCAGTACTAGAGGGGAAGGAAGAGGAGGGAAAGGGGAAGGAGGTGGTGGCAGTGGCAGGAGCAGCTGTTTGGGCTTTATCTTGAGGAAACTAAAGAAGTCTTGAACAGGATGACATGGTGAAGACTTGTGTTTAGAAAGATCCTGCTGCCTGAGGTCTAGACCGTAAATGTGAATGGCAGGGGAGAGGTTGTTATCAGGAGCCAGGCAAGCAATGGTAGTGACGCTGAGTGGGCATGGGGAAGAAGGTGAAGAATGAGTGTTAGGATCCCCAGCTCAGACTTCATCCCAAGGGTACCATCCCTGAGATAGGAACAGAAAAAGACAAGAAGATGAGCTGGGAGTGGTAGCACACGCCTTTAATCCCAGCACTTAGGAGGCAGAAGCAGGTGGATCTCTGAGTTTGAGGCCAGCTGAGTCTACATAGGGAGTTCTAGGCCATGTGGGGCTACAGGGAAACCCTGTCTCAAAAATGACCAAAAAATAAAAGGACAAGAAGGTGGATCAAAGTGGGATTTGTCAGTTTAGGGAAGGGCCAATTTGAAATGCTCCAGTGATCGGGATGTAGCTCAGTAGGTAAAGTACCAAAGGCCCAGGTTTGATTCCTTAGCATCTCCTAAACCAGAGTGGTGGCATATGGTCCAACTATTCCAGAGATAGGAAGGAGCAGGAGGATCACAAGTTCAAGGTTACCCCCAGCCTCAGCCAGCTCCTGATCCACCCTTTTTCAAAACTACACAACAGAAAAGTTAGATCATTGAAGTGTTCCAGATCCTGTCAACAGGTAGATGGTATCACAATCAAAACCCTTACTGTGGTCCCCACCTGTGCCTCTCTGTACTGCCTCACTAGATTTGGTTTCCTCGACTGTAAAATGGGTATAATAGCAGCTTCTGCCTCTAAGGGTTTTGTTGGATGAATGAGACAATGTCTGTCAGGCAATAGCACAGAACACAGTAAGCACTCAATAGATACTGGTGACAAATAATAGCACTTATTAAATGTTTGCTGTGTGTCAGGCACTGTCCTGAGCACATCATACATGAACTCATTCTTGAACTCCCACCCAATAAGTATTATCTCCATTTTACATATGAGGAAGTTGAGGCACGGCAAGGTTGAATTTGTCTCAGGCAATGAGGATTCAAACCCAGGTAGCCTTACTGTGAAATTAAACTACTACACATAATTAGCTATGGCTTGACACCTGCTGTATTGTAATTGCGTTGTGTACAAAGCTAGAGCTATTTCAACCAGTTGGGGTTAGTATCAAGCCTGGTCTTGGTTGAACAATCTGCCAGGTTCATAAAACGGAAAGGCATTTCAGCTCACAAAGCTCTGAGGACTTGAAAATGCACTCAGTTAATATGGGCTGCGGGTTGGGGGTAAAGAAGGTAAAAAAGGAAGGAGAGCGGCTTTGACGAGGCAAGGGAGCGCCTTGGAGGACTTTTCCAGTGGCAAGCTCGGATTTTATTTTAGCGAGATCAAGCGCAGTGGAGGGGGCTGAAGAGAGGACCAGAGGAGACAGATTGATGCTCCTTCCCAGACTTGAGCCTCCATCCTCCCTACCATGGTCGCTCTGCAGCCCCTATGAAGCGCCTGGAACAAAGTAGTTCATACAGAAGTAAGATGCTTGGGGTGGATGGACATCCACTCCCCCTCCTCAGCAGGGTAGCCTGCACAGCGTGCAAGTGCCACACCCAAGACTCAAGAGGTTCCAGAAAGGAAGGAGGATGGGAAGTGAGAGGCTTCGCCCTCTCCGGGATACCAGCCTCCGCGCGCACCCTCACCCTACCCAGGAGCCCTAGCTCGAGGGGCGGCTGCTCACCCTGAAGTCCCTGCGGCCGCCCTCCTCCTGCGCCAGGTGCAGCTGCAGCCCATCCACAGAGCAGCCCAAGGCCAGCGCCAGCTGCCGGTTGCCGGCCGCGAACTTGCAGTCCCCTTGGAGCCCCGCCCGGCTCTTGGGGGCCGCCGCCTCCGGCTCGCGTGGCGCGGCTCCCTTTGGCATCCCGGCACTTGGCTCCGCAGTCTCCCCCACCTCCACCCCGGCCCGGGGAACACTTCTCCGGGGGACTCTTTGGACACCAAGCCTGACAGGCGGCCTCTGAGATCCCTTGCCCTCCGATCAGCCCCCAAGACACTCAGACCACGAGCTTGGCGAGGTTGACTTTTATTCCTTCCAGATTGAGCCCGAAGGGGCCGCGCCTCCCTGGTGGGAATGGACCGGCAGGGGTGGAGATGCCCAGGCTCAAGGGACCCGCGATCCGGGTAGAAGCGATGACCTACTCCTTACTGCACACCCTCCATCATCTTCAGGAACTCTGCGAGGAAGCAGAGGAAGAGGTCTGGGAGACCTGGCCAGGGCGCCCCGCCTTGTCATTGAAGGGTACAGTGCACAAACCCGCCTCGGAGAGTGGTCACGCCCAGCCCACCCACAAGGCCCAGGACTCCGGTGCCAGCTGCGCCCCCCGCTGTTCCTCGACTCTCACCATCAAAGTCAATGCGGCCATCATTGTTCTTATCACCGTCCTTCATCAGGGATTCTATCTCCTCGTCTGTCACGTGCTCCCCAGAAGCCCGGAAAATCTCAGCCAGCTCCTCAGCATCGATGTAGCCATCTGCGTTCCTTTGAGACCAAGGGACAGCAGGGCAGAGCACAGAGAACAGGTGAGTTGCTGGGGCCACACCTGACCCCAGTTCACACCTGACCCACCTGCTCCTGCTTCCACGTTCCATATCCCAAACGCCCAGTGTACCTGTCAAAGATGCGGAAACACTCTGCCAGCTCCTCTTCGCTCTTCCCTTTGGCATCCTCTTTCATCTGGCGCACCATCATGACCAAGAACTCTTCGAAGTCGATGGTGCCGCTGCCTTAGGGGGAGCAGGGGGCGCGCTGAGCCGAGCCCTGGCTGCCTGCCCCTCCCCACCATCCCCTGCCTTGCAGGGCCTCCAGTTTACCATCCTCGTCCACCTCCTCGATGATGGCATCCAGCTCCTCCTTGGTGGGCGTCTGGCCCAACATCCTCATCACGGTGCCCAGCTCTTTGACACTGATGTCCCCACCACCATCAGCATCAAACATGTCAAAGGCAGCCTTGAACTCTGCCAGGGGAAGAAGAGTGGCTGGTTGAGGTGAGTCCAATTAAACTATCACCCTCACACCTGCCATCCCTACACTGGGTCTCCAGCTCACCTCCCCCAGCTGCCCACCCTCACTCACCAGCGATCATTTCCTCGCTGAGGTAGGACCTGGCCTCAGCCTGCTGGTCCGTCTGTAGAAGACAAAACAAGAGAATGAGAAGGGGCTCCCTAGAGCAGACTCTCATCTCAGCCCCGACTTCTATTAGGAGGTGCCCTTGGTCCTCCAGAAAGACAGCTCCAAACCTACCGCACCTCCTATGTGCACCTCAAGTGCCCAACCCCAGTGCTGAGGACAGAAGACACAGATCATGCCTACTGCCTTCTCTGTCCTCTGGAGGTCAAGTCAGGACCACCCCCCCCACCAGTGATCATGGGCAAGTCATTCTTTTCCACAGGATGGGAAAGGGCTTTGTGTTATGTCAGTACCATTCCATCATGATGTCCCAAGTTCCTCTAGCTCCTAATGTGCCTAGTACTTGAATAGTTGCTCAATAAATATCTGTCCTCAAATAAATAATAACACAATGTAAACTCATTGAGCATCTGCTAAGTGCTCAGTTACTGAGAGCACAAGAAAAGATGGACCACTGTTCTCTCCCTTCAGAGGGTTCACAGACATGGAAATTTTGCATTTCATATTTTCAGTTCAGTCGTTGGAATAAGTTCCTATCATGCAATATCAAATGTGATGGCACTCTATTGTGAAAAGAAAAAATGTTTGTCTTGTCTTGACGGTCTTTTAAGACAGGGTCTCCCTGTAGCCTCAGCTGACCTGGAATTCACTATGTAGACCAGGCTGGCCTCAATCTTACAAAGATCTGCCTGCCTCTGTCTCCTGAGTGCTGGGACTAAAGGTGTGCGCCACCACACCTGCATGATTTTTTTTTTTTTTTTTTTTTTTTTTTTTTTTTTTTTTTTTTTTTAGATCATCTCACTATATAGCTCAGATTGACTAGGAATTCACTATGTGACCCACTGGCCTCAAACTCTCTATCCTCCTGCCTGTGCCTGAGCATGGGCTTTCAGATGCATGTCACCATACTTGACTCTGAAAACAAAGTTACTATGGGGTTTTTCAGGTCACATCCAAGCCAGGCCATATGGGTCAGGCACTTTGGACTCAAGCTGGTGGTGAGGAATGGGTGAGGAATCCAAGGAGTTCTTTAGCCAACTGGCCCAGACCCTCCTTCTCCTGTCCTCTACCCCTTGCTCCAGAGCCAGGAGGGCAGGCTATTTTTAATCAGGCATGGGCAACAGCAGCTGGTCTCTGGAGTCCAGTTACTCCTTGAAGTGAAGTAGGGAGGGGACCTCAGTGGAAAATGGCAGCCCCAAATTAGGATTCCCGCTCTGGGTGGATGGCCAGGGTCTCCCTAACTCTGGCCTGTCATATCCTTCCTGCTTATGAAGCCCACTCTGCCTCTGCCTTGCTAGGTGATTCCTTCCTGCCCTCAACATCCCCAACTCCCCAATGAAGCAGACAGTTTAACACCCTCTCTACACAACTCTGGGTATGGCACTGCTGCAAGTCTCAGATAATGGCCAAAAGTCACAAGTCTTGAAGATCAATTCCTAGAACCCATCCCCATCTTAGAGAAGCCACAGCCTCCCCAGGATATCACCAAAGGACTTGGGTTCTAGTAAGCCTCATCTTCTACCTTCAGATACCTACATTACTACTACCCACAGAGCACCCAGTTCTGGCCTGAAAGAAGCCCAGAAGTGCTCCTGTGAGCAAGAGAATGAAGACCCTTCTCGTCCTTACCATGGTTGCTGGTCACTGGGATGCCTCTGCTATGGGTCGTCTCCTCCGCACTCCACCACCCAAAGGTGCCCTGGCCTTCTCCAGCCCCCAGGATTTGTAGGGGGCACCCTTTACACCCACCTCCCTGCTCCCCAGGACTAGATACCCTGCCCAATCAGATCCAGGGGTCAGCAAACCCCACCCCTCCCAGAGTCCTAGCCCATTACCTAATTTAGCCAAGGGCCCTTGCAGGGAAATTTAAGCCTCTGAGCAGGTGGCAGGCTCTGACGTGCTAGTTTCTTACAGAAGAGTCGGTCCTGTGCCACCGTCTTAGGGATCTCCCTCCCCCCAGTACACTTGCCCCAAGATGGGAGAGGATGGTCAGAAAAGTGATAAGTGAGGCAGCTTGGGAAATGAGAAAACCACAGGCTTAATGTTGAAAGTTCAAGATCTAGTTCTGTCTCTGTAAGCCATGAGACTTTGGGCAGCTGGTGATGCCCCTCTAAGCCTGTCTAACTCCCCCCACAGAGAGACTATGGCAAAGTCAAAACCAGGTACATGTCACCTAGCTTGTGCTGGGCTCATAGGGTGGTGTTTGGCAGTGGAATGTCCTGTCTTTGAATGCAGTAAGGGGTAGGGGACCCAAACGGGGGAAGTGATAGCTAGGCCACCATTTATTGAACTTCCACAGCCGCTGTGCCACACACTATGCTGAGCATTTTGACCACATGATCTCATCTAGTATTCATCCTATGAGGTGGAAACTATTATTATCTTCATCTGACTTTTGGGCTTTAGAAATCATTCAGGTCTATAGAGGGATGCTGGAAATTCCTTTTTATTTTTTTGAGACAGGATCTCCCTGTAGTCTCATCTGGTCTGGAACTCAATACTTACACCAGGCTGGCCTCAGAAGGATTTCTCATGAAACATGATTTTTGAATACTGAAATAAGAGGTGATATTTGTAAACTTCATAATTATTATTATTATTTTGGTCTTTTTGAGACAGTGTCTTCCTGTAGCCCCAGCTGGCTTGGAACTTGCCATGTAGACCAGACTGGCCTTGAACTGCCTACCTTTGCCTCCCAAGTGCTGGGATTAAAGGCGTGGGCCACCACACCCAGCCTCCTATTATTATTTTTTTAGACCCAGTTTCATGTACCCAGGCTGGCTTCAAAATCATTATGTAGCTGAAAATGATGTTGAACTGATTTTTTGTTTGTTTGTCTGTTTTTTTTTTTTTCTTTTGATACAGAGTCTGGAACTTGCTATGTAGATCGGGCTGACCTCAAACTCACAGAGATGCACGTGCCTCTGCTTCCCGAGTGTTGGGACTAAAAATGAGCACCATCACACCTGGCTGACCTTGAATTTCTGATCATCCTGCCTCCACCTCCAGAGTGCTGGAATTAAATACGCCACCATTTAAATTCTTTTATTTATGTTGAGTCTCATTGACACCTGAATTGACCTCAAGCTTCTGGATTCAAGCGATTCTCCTGACTTAGCCTCCCAAATCACTGAGCCTTGTAGGCATGCCAGGTTTATGCAGAACTGGGGATCAAACCCAGGGCTCTGTGCATGCTAGGCAAGCACTCTACAAAAGAAGCCTTAGCTCTATCCTGGTAGTTCTTATTCATCTTGACTGGGAAAAGTTAGGAGATTCTAGAGGAGAAATAAGCATTGAAAACAAAGATTCTCTCTCAAGTTATCTTTACTAGGGAAAAGCAGGAAAAGGGTGTTTAAGACTCACTTCTGGTGAGCAAGGCAGATGTTTCTCTAAGCAATAAAGGGATAGCTAGTTTCCTGCCCTAGACATTCTAACCGAATTTTACTGGCCTCTATAAAATTGGGTCTACTTGCTGCTAAGAAGCCAAGGATTCTTTTCGCTCTTTTTTTAAATTTTACTTTTTTTTTTCTTGGTCTATTTGAAACAGGGTCTCCCTGTAGCCCCAGCTACCCTATGTAGACCATGCTGGCCTTGAGCTCTGCCTCCCAAGTGCTGGGACTAACAGGCATGCACCACCACACCCAACTCTCTTTCTAAAAATATTTAAAATTAATTTGAGACAGGGTCTCATGTAGGCCAGGCTGGCCTCGAATTCACTATGCAACTGAGGATGACCTTGAACTTCCTCATCCTCCTGCCTTTACCTCCCAATTGCTGGGATTATAAACATGCACCATCATGCCTGGTTCTATTTGGTGTCGGGGGTTGAAAGCAGAGCTTTGAGCATGCTAGGCAAGCACGCTACCAACAGAGTTGCATCTCTAGCCCCTGAGGCTTCATTCCTATGAGCAAAAAGCTCATATAGCAATGTAGTTATTTCTGTATTTATTTCTATTGTGGCATCCCTGGGGTTCAGAATGCAACTTTGTATATGAAATATATCTATATCTATATGAAACATGAAAAGAAAATGACAGCTGGCCTCTTCCTAGCTCAGTGAAGAAATCCAGAGGAACTCAGCTGATCCTCTGGAGAGTGAAGGTGGGGAGGGGAATCTAGTCTAAGGGGAACCAATCCACAGGGAATCCACAGGCTGAGCATGACGGTAGGTGAGGCTCATGAACAGTTGCTAAATCAACAGAAAGAATATGGAGACAAATAAGAGCAGGATCTGGGGCCAGAGGATGGAAGACTAGACACCAAGAAAGGCAGAGGGACAGAGGCAACTGGGCTGTACCCATCCCCTATATATAGACATTCCCAAGAAAGCTAGGGGAGCCAGGCCAGGCTAAATAAGGCATCCCCCTTGCCAGGCAGAGGACTGAGGCATGACACTCAGGGGAGTCCAACTTGGACAATACAAACTAGAACCAATTGGTCTCTGCAACAGAAGGTATGAAACCCTTAGTAATCACCGATGATTAATTTGTTCTTAAGTTTATTTGGGAAACAAAGACCCTGGTCCTTAGTATGACCAAGCTCCAATTGCCACCCCCCTCCCCCACAATCTCATTCTGCCCTCTCTCCTCATTTTGCAAGCTCCTCTGCTCTGGTCAAACTTAAACACTGCCCCAAACACCACCCTTTAAGAACTTTAGGTCTTTGCATAAGCTCCCTGATATCTCTCTCAGCATTTTTTTTTTTTTTTTGGTCTTTTTGAGACAGGGCCTCCCTGTAGCCCCAGCTGTCCTGGAACTCACTATGTAGACCAGGCTCACCTTGAACTCACAGAGATCCACCTGCCTCTGCCTCCCCAGTGCTGGGATTAAAGGTGTGTGCCACCATGCCCAGCTCTTCTCTCAGCTTTGACATCACTTCCTCCTGGATCCCTTCTCCCCTACACCCAGGTCAGGTGGTCCAAGGTGGTCTCCTGTAATTTCCTCCACTGTACCACTGAGCATGCTTTATGACCACGACCTGCTCTGAGTTCCACAGCCCAAAGTTGACTTTTGTTTAAGATCAGAATGGCACTTATCGGGCATTTAATAAGCACTGTATTCTGTGTAAGAATAACTAAACTAAGTAGCACTCTGCTTAATACAAAGAGGAACTTTCTAACAGTCATTGAATAGTAATGGGAACATGTGGCCTAAAGAAGTAATGAGCTCTGGGGCTGGATAGATGGCTCAGTGGTTAAGAATACTGGCTGGACCCAGGTTTGAATCCCAGAACCCACACGGCAGCTAACAACTGTCCGTAACTCCAGTTCCAGGGGATTCGAAGGCCTCTTCTGTCCTCCAAGGGCATTGCACGACATGTTGCACTTACCTACATGCAGGCAATACATGCATACACATAAAAAATAATAAATAAAATATTTTCTTAAAAAAGAAGTAATGAGCTCCTCAACACTAAGCATGTGCAAGTCCAAGACACATGTCCATCTCTTAATGAGGCTGTAGGGAAATAGCCACAAGAGTCTGAGGGTGGTGGGGTTAGAAGCCATCAAGAAAGCTCATTGCTGAGCATACAGCACATGCTAGTAATCTGAGTGAGTACTCAAGAGGCTGAAGCAGGAAGACTAGCTAGACTAGGCTAGCTCAGAGGCTCATGGGATGAAAGTACTTGCCATGCAAACCTGATGACTTGAGTTCAATACCTGGATCCTAGGTAGAAGGAGAGAACCTACTCTCAAAAGTTTCCTCTGACCACCCACAAATAAATACAAATAAACAAACAAAAAGCAGGGTATGGTGGCACACCCCTGTAATCTAGAGGAGATAGGAAGGTCAAGAATTCAAGGTGACCTTCAGCTATCTAAGGAGTTCAAAGCCAGCCTGGGATACACATCTCAAAAAAAAAAAAAAGCCGGGCATGGTGGGGCATGCCTGTAGTCCCAGCACTTGGGAGGCAGAGGCAGGCAGATCTCTGTGAGTTCAAGGCCAGCTTGGTCTACATAGTGAGTCCCAGGACAGCTGGGGCTACAGGGACACCCTGCTTCAAAAAGAAAAAAAAAAAAAAAAAAAGAAAGAAAGAAAGAAAAATTGGTGATGGGGAGATGACTCGGTCAGCAAAGCACTTCCCACACAGGCATACGGACTGTGTTTGGGTTTTTTTTTTTTTTTTTTTTTTTTCGGTCCTTTTTAAAAAATATTTTATTTATTATTTCCATTCTATGTGTATGAGTGCCCATTCTATGTGTATGAGTGCATTGCCCACATGCATGTGAGTGTACCCATGTCATGCACTGTTGCAGAGGTCAGAAGAGGGCCTCAGATTCCCCTGGAACTGGAGTTAAGGACAGTTCATAGCTGCCATTTGGGTGCTGAGAATCAAACCCAGGTCCTCTGCAAGAGCAGTCAGTGCTCTTAACCACTGAGCCATCTCTCTAGCCCCCTTTTTTCTGTCTTTTTGAGACAGGGTCTCTCTGTAGCCCCAGCTGACCTGGAACTTGCTATGTAGACCAGGCTGGCCTTGAACTCACAGACATCCACCTGCCTCAGCCTTGTGAGAGCTGGGACTAAAGGCGTGCACTACCAAGCCCAGCATGTGTTTGGATTTTGATCACTCGTCTAAAAGCAATGCACATCCTAGCAGCGAGCTGAATTGATGAGCTCCAGGCAACCTCTGGCCTCCCCACACATGTGTGCACACTCCACACAAGTGTGTACACTCCTGTATGCATGTACATATGTATACACAAAAATGTATACACACATACATATGTACACACATCACAGGCACACAAAAGAGAG